GATGTGTCAAAAGGAACTTTGCAGATATGTTTAAGATTAAGGACCTTGAGAGGGGAGATTTCCCTGAGATATCTGTGTAGTCTAAATCTTATCACTGTGTCTTTAAAAGTAGAAGAGAAAGTAAAAAGAAAGCAAGAAAGAAAGAAAGAAAGAGAGAAAGAAAGAGAGAAAGAAAGAAAGAAAGAAAGAAAGAAAGAAAGAAAGAAAGAAAGAAATGTCATATCCTATGAAAGAGACATCTTGAAAATGTCTAAAGAAAGTTGTCATTTTTTCATAGTGAAGGGACTGGAGTCCATGTTGATGAAAACACCTGCTGCGGTGGCTGGCAGTGGCAGCAACAGTGGGGTGATGGGGGCGGTGCCTTCCCCTGATCAGCCAGGTTGTCTCCTGCAGAGGGAGGCTTACTGATGGCTTAGGCCTGCGGGAGTGGGCTTAAGCTGTCAGTAGGACATCCCCTGAAGGCTCCCAGACTGTGAGAGGGGGCAGAGTGGGCTTAGGGACACCCCCCACCCCCCGCCAGTGCATGGATTTTGTGCACTGGGCCTCTAGTCTGTATATATAAAAGGTTAATATGCTAAGTGTCCCTCTCTCTGTTCGACCAGTTGCACTGACCACTAGGGGGAAGCCACTCAATGCAGGAGCTGCCGAGCTGCAGTGACTTGGAAGCAGTGGTTCTCAGGTGACACACCCTGAAACCAGAGAGGATGGGGTGGAGTCTAAGGGAATCACCAGAATGGAGCAAACAGTGTGGGCCGTGCTGATGGAAACTCAGATTTGGTTGCCAGTCAGCCCTGCAGTGGGGGTAGTCCCAGCACAGCAACAATGATCCTTGTCTAGGAGAAAGCTGTCCCCAAATTCCTGTCTCAATGTCAGTCAATCCAGTTCCTTTCCATATACCCCTGGGTCCCCCAAAGCCACTGACTGGTACTGGAGCTCAGAGGAAGTGGGACTGTGTAAGTTCATGTGCCAGCCCTTAAGAGGAACTGCCTGGGTATCCAGCAGCCTCCTTATCATTCAGCCACAATCCCGGCTGGTTTTTATAGCCTGGAGTTACAGGGACTTCTTTTCCCAGATTTTAAAAAAAATATATTTTATTGATTTTTTACAGAGAGGAAGGGGGAACGATAGAGATTTAGAAACATTGATCAGCTGCCTCCTGCATACCCGCTACTGGGGATGTGCCCGCAACCAAGGTACTTGCCCTTGACTGGAATCGAACCTGGGACCTTTGAGTCTGCACGCTGATGCTCTATCCACTGAGCCAAACCATTTAGGGCTCTTCCCAGCTTTTGAACCCTGGGATGGGGGGGCTGATGTGGAGTTGGGACCCCTCACTTCTCATGGGAGGCCTCTGCAACCAAGATATCCCTCCTGATAGAAAAAAATGCCACATGTGGGTGTCAGACCAGCCCATTCTGTGCCTCTACCCCTCTTACCCATGCAACCAGTGTGCCATAATAATTTTAGAAAGTTCAATACCTGACTATTTAGTCATAGCCACTGACCTCTTTTCCCTTAGATTATCAAATTAAAAAATGCAAGAGCCAACACAACAATAGCCATCTGCTGTGAATGAATAAAAATTATACCTATTTTTTGTCAAGCCAGCAACAAATGTATTTATTTGTAGTGTCACATATTTTTAGTAATTAGTTTATGTGTGCATTGAGATGAAAAAGGTTGAAAATTACTGTAATGGACCTATGTAATGTCCTGAAAGTTGTCAAGAATCCTGTGGACTACACAGGGAGAGAGTGAGAGACCATGAACATATACTGTTGTTGGTGCCATGTAAGCACACACTATTGCTGAACCACTTCCTGATGAGTTTAGGAAAGATGTTTTCAGATCAATAGCTACATAGCTACATAGCACATATGTGAGGGTATGTGATTAGCTGCTCTAGTTATCATACAACATCCTATATAATAAAGAGCTAATATGCTAATTAGACCAGAAGGTGGAATGACCTTCTGGAATGACTAGTGGGTGTGTGGGGGCAGGGCTAGTGAGCCTGTGCCGCCACACCAGCCATGGTGGTCCTAGCACCTCCCTCTTCCGCAGAGGTGGCGGGAGAGGCGGTGGCATGGGCCCGGTCCTGGTCCTGGCACCAGGCCTTCTGCAGAGGCAGCCACAGGGGAGTGGGCCTAAACCGCAATCGGACATCCCCTTAGGGCTCCTGGGCTGCCAGAGGGATGTCTGACTGTCAGATTAGACCTGATCCCCCAGGGAATGGGCCTAAGCTGGCAGGTGGACATTCCCAAGGGGTCCTAGACTGCAAGAGGGCACAGGCTGGGCTGAGAGACCCCCAAGTGCATTAATTTTTATGCATCAGGCCTCTAGTTTATTATAAGAACTAAAAGTTTTGTTTAAATTAAGTTGTGTTTCTGGTAATGCACTGTTATCTGTCATTATCCATCTGGATTTTGGAGATACTAATGAATTTAATGGGGATATGACAGGAACCATGACCCCTGTATCCTTCGTTTGGATGGTGGCCCTAATCTCTCTCATTTGCCACATGGTAAACACTTTCCTGGGATATATTTTTCTTTTGCTGAATTGTCAATGGAGGAGCTAGATTGATTTAGAAGTATTTATTTGCCTTTCCTATGGTGATAGCTTTTATTTACAGGTCAAGAAACCACTGGGAGGATTCTCTTAACTGCTCTGTATATCCATTCTTATTATACATTTGGAGCTGAGGAAACAACCACTAAGTGGATCCACAGACCCAGTGGGGCCAATGTGACATCAATGTGGGCAAGGAATATATGAGTTTTCTGACCATTTTATGCCAACATTCTAAACAGGGACTATGGTGGTGTTTTGAGCCCCCAAATATCATGCCAACCTTGGCTCAACATCCAAGAGCTCTTGAAATATCTATGTTTTTCCTCTTCTCATGTGTCCAGTTACCCAAAAGATGCTTGTAGGTCCTTTCTGAGGTGGACTAGAGGTCACATGGTATACACTTTCCTTGGTGTTTCAGATACCCTCCTCATGGGGATTAGTCAAGAGTCTGGTTGTGAGAATTTCTCAGGTCTTAACTGGACAAAGGATCATGATTTGTATCGGGGAAGCTGACCTCAGCCTTCTGCTCCATTCTCCAATCTCTTGATTATGTTATTAAGGGATACATTGCTGGCCTTTCATATCTTTTGTTCTTAAGGATACCGTGTTCCAGGACTCATCTCCTATATCTCTGCAGACCAGGTTGTGCTCGGATAGTGCTGCCTATAATGTAATTATGCCTCCTTCCACCTTGCTTTTGGTGCTAACTGCTGGCCTCTATCATGCCCAGATCCTATTACCCCCTTGCTGTTATGGAGTCCAGTTCTGAAACACTTCCTGTTTTCATCTCTAACCTCTGAAGATCAGCTTTCACTTGCATCTCAGTGAAGTAGGTGCCCCTTAACCAACTTTGTTCTACTCATTTTTCCTGAGGCTCTTATTGACTGGCCCTGAGGGGTGTCCCCCCATCATGGAGAGCTGGCCAGACCCTCATGTCCCCAGGGACAGACACTGAAGGTGCCAGGGAGAGTCTGCTGTGGATCTGGGAGGAGCTGGTGAATGAGGAGTTTGGAGGCGCAAGAGATAGAGTAGGGGTGGGGGGAGAATGAATGAGTGGCAGTGTATGAAAATAGAAAGGGCCAGAGACTGAGAGACAGAAATTGAGAACAGGAATAGAGAATAAAGACACACACACACACACACACACACACACACACCTAGAGAGAGACAGAGACACAGGCACATAGACCCAAAGAGTGAGCGATAGGAATAGAGACAGAGAGACAGAGAGGGACCCAGAAAGAAAGAGGCAGAGTTGGAAAGTAGAGATTGAGGATAGCAACAGGAACAGAGAGACTCAGATTAAAACCGAGAGACAACGGCAGAGAAATAGAGACAGAGAAAGATGGATATGGAAAGACATAGAGACAAAGACAGGTGGCCACACAGAGAGAGAAATAATAAGAGAGGGAAATGAGAGAGAAAGAGATTAAGAGTCAGACACATACAGAGGGAGGTAGAGACAGGGAGGGACAATGAAATACAAAAACAGATCAAGCAGCACTGTGAGAAGCAGGGTGACAGTTAGGCCCAGGGACATAGTGAGGACCTGCCCAAGAACACATGTTACAGGTGGTAAGGTGATGGGTATAGGGACCATTGTGATGGGATTTTGCAGTGGAGGAGAGAGATAGGGCTCAACTCCAAGTACAGCATGGGCAAGTGGAAATTTACAACCTAGGAGCCGCTGGGGGTTAGTGAGTAGAAAATAACACACACACACACACACACAAAAACAAATACAGCATGGGCAAGTGGAAATTTACAACAGGGGAGCCGCTGGGGGTTAGCGGATAGAAAATTACATTAATGGAAAGGGGCATTTTGGGTAAAGTGACTCAGCAGGAGTCCCACTGAAGGGAGGCCACGGTGATCAGACATCACCTGGGGGAAATGAGAGGATGGGGAACCTGCTTAGATAGGATATGGAGAGTATTCAGGTGTGGAGGCTGGGGATTCTGGCTAAAAGTGGATTTTACAGGGAGATGCAGAGATAGGCCTAGGAAAAGATACAGGAGCCTGACTAAAGTTTTGTCAAGCAAAGAATCTTTGTTAGGTCTTGAGCTGGGACTTGCTCCCACCCAGGTTGGGGGGGTGGGGAGGCCAAGGGAGGATGCTCTCTGGGGTGGAATGCCTCCATTTCCCTCTGGCAGGAGAACCTTCGAAGAGTGGATGTCCAGCTGCTCGGCCAGCTGTGTAACTTGGGGCTGGAGATGGCGGTGCTGCGGGAGGAGCTGGTTGCTTTCCTGGAAGAGAAGGAGGAGGAGGAGGAGGAGGTCTTCTAGGAAGAGGAGGAGGAGACAAAATTCTATGTGAAAGGCTGACTCTATCTATATCTACTATGACACCAAATTAGATGCAAGAGGGGGAAGGGAGCATAGCCTAAAAGATTGATAAGAATATAAAACATTTCAATCATATTAAAAATTACATATTGAAATGATAATATTTTGAGTATATTGTAATACATAAAATATTACTCTATTTCATCTGTTTATTTAAGATTTTTATTGCGGTAAATTATACATTAAAATTAACAATTTTAACTATTTTCTTAAGTGTACAGTTCAGTAGTGTAATTAAGTACATTCACGTTATTGTGCAACTATCACTACCATCACCACCACATTCACTTAGACCAGACTGTAAATGCCCCATCACCAGAGCCCTTTTCATCTTACAAAGCGGAAACTACCCATTAAACAGCTCCCCATGCCCCTCTTCCCTCAGCCCCTGGCAGCCACCTTTCTACTTTGTGTCTCCACGATTTTGGCTACTCCAGGAACCTCATGTAAGTGGGATTATACACTATTTGTCCTTTTGTGTCTCACTTATTTTACCTAGCACAATGTCTTTAAGGTTCATCCATGTTGTGGCATGTGCCAGAATTTTCTTTCTTTTTTATGCTGAATAATATCCCTTAGTGTGTACATTCCACATTTTGTTTATCATTCATCTGTCCGTGGACACTTGGGTTGTTTCTACCTTTTGGCTAGTATGAATAATGTTGTTATAAACATATGGGTGTACAAATATCTGTTCAAGTCCTTGCTTTCAATTCTTTTGGGTCTACACCTAGAAGTGGGATTTCTGGATCATATACTAATTCTACATTTACTTTTTTATTTTTTCATTTTGAGAATACGTTTATTAAAGCTGGGGACAGTGAAACCAGGAAGGGCTTAGGATAGAATAAGCAACAGGAGGGCGGGGCTATTTTAGCTCTCTAGCAATGTTATAGGAAAGAAGGGAGCCTGGGTGGGGTTGCTTTGGCTCATTGAAAAGTCAGAGAAAAGGGTGCTTTGGAGATGGGGTGGGGGGTGGGGGTAGCCCAGGATGAGTTGATGGTGCCCATATTTCCCCTGGTTGCAGAAGAGTTTAGGAGATGCATGCCTGTGGGGGAAGAAGGGTGTGGGCGTGCTCCCCAGAGGGATAATGGCCTTTGTTTAATTTTCTGAGGAACCAGCAGACTGTTTTCCACAGTGGTTGTCTAAGTGTAGATATTAATAAAGAAAGGAAGCAAAGGGAATCAGGCCTAATCTACAGGGCAGCATAAGCCTGCTTCCCGAGGAAGCTGCAGCATTCATATCATAGGCACTCCAGGGACCACAGGGCTGCCTGCCAAGGGCATTCTCGCTCCAGGGACACAGGCTGAACACTGTCCTTCGTTTTGGGCTTGGTGAAGACAAGGCTGGACTTTTCTTGGTGAAGACAAGGCTAGGGGGTGGGGTGGAGTGGGGGGAGCTGAGACACCACAGCTGAACCTTGGATAGTCCTTCCTGTTTATGTCAATAAACCCAATAAACCTTACCATTCCTCCCACACGGGGGTCTCCCCAGTGTTTTCAGGGAGGCCACCTGAAAGGACGCATTCCCACTAGCAACATTGCACCATTGACATTTCTACCAACAGTACACCAGAGCTCCAATTTCTCCACATCCTTTTTCTTTTTTTTCACAATAGCCATCCTAATTAAGCATCTTTTCAAGTGCTTATTCATGTTTCTTCTTACATTTTTAAATATGGCTGCAAGAAAATTAAAATTACACACATAGCTCCTGTTATGCCCAGATTTCAGGATCCCCAAAAGATCACACCTGGGAGCCAGCCGAGTCCGATGAAAAAGCAGAGAGTCTTTATTCGAACTAGTTCGGCTCCCCGACCACACTTACCGACCCAACAGTAAGCCAAGTGGCAGAGAGAGGGCCAGCCCGGTGGGAAGGAGTTTTATAGCGGGGTGGAGTAAGGGGAGGAGAGGTGACCGTGGGCCCTGCCGATTGGCCAGGTGCAAGTCAGGTCCCGCCACACAGGATGTGGTCATATCCATGGTGCGCACCTCCCTGGACCATCACTGGCTAGTTTAAAGAAGTCCTGGGTGTGGCTAGCAGAGTAGCAGAGGCTTGGGCTTCCGGGAAGAAGCCTTTGCCAAGCACATGGCCCACGTAAGATGGAGGGCATACCCCTTACCCTGGGGCAAGATGGAGGGCGTAGCCCTCGCCCTTTTAGCCCCTACTGTACTTCTATTGCACAGCTCTATTTCAGAGGTCTGACCATGGAATGTGGGTGTGAGCCCATGAGCAGTGAGCGTATATGACGTCCCCAGATGTGTTGCAGATGAGTCACAGCTCCACCTGCAGGAGACGGCAGATATCGTGCATAGTGGCTGAGGAAGAGCTGACTGTAAATGCCCCTAGGACTAGGTCTACATTTGCAGAAAAGATGCCCAAGACAGAGGTGGAGAGCTCCAGCCTGGGGGGAGACATCTCTTCAGGAGAGATATTTTGGCATTCACAAAACCAGACGCCCATTTTTGCAATTCCTTATCTAAGCAATTTCTAGTAGGGAGTGAGGATGTTCACAGAGAAGTGAGGTGTTGGCAGAAGAGGTGCTGAGTTCATCTCCATGGAGATTTCCTTCTTAAAGACAAGCTGCTTCCTTTTGTCCAGTGGAGTCCCTCAACTGGAGTCTTTGCGTTGGGGGTTGGGCATTCAGGCCCAATCCCCCAACCTGGTCCTCCTTCGCCAATCTGAGCCAGGTCTGAAGCTTCCAGGATCTCTGCTGAAGGAGGTGGGAGGAAGGAAGGCTGGGGAGAATGCTGAAAGTCAGACTAGTACCCAGTGAAGGGGAAAGACAACCCCAGAGCATGGGTGTGAGCAGAACTCCCTCCCCTCACTTGGCACTCTAGAAAGAGGCTGGACTCTGGGGCCTCTCTTGGAAGCTACACCCAGTGTGCCTGGGTCCATGCTTCACAGATGCCAAGTCTGTTGGAAGAAAGGAACTGGGTTGTGGAAAGGCACTGAGGGGAGACTGGCGGGAGTGACTCCGGAGGGAATGCTCACTGTGCAAGGACAGCATGATGAGTGGCCCCTGACACCTGGGTGGGAGTTGCTCTCAGCCATGGCCTGGACTATGGAGGTGACCTCTATGGGGGAGGCACCCAGGGAACTTGGTTGGATGTGGCCAGTTCCACCTGTATTGTCATCAATGCCAATGCTACTGAGCTACATACGGCAATGACCAGGTGAGCACCAGGTCTGCCCTCCTGGGCCTCTCCGCCCAGCAAAAGGGGAGAAACTCCTCACCACACAGGGGCTGGGATGGCAGAGGCACAGGTGGCAGAAAGGTTATGGGGTTTTTGTGGTGGGTGGGTTCCAAAGGCAAGTGCCCCAAAGATGAGCCAGGAAGAAGCCACATCCCCTTGCATGACATGGCCTCAGAAGTCATGCAGTCATTCTTGCCACATTCCATTTAAGGCAAGGGCAAAGTCCTGGCCGGTTCACGTCAAGGGGAAATGGACTTCACCCTTTATGGGGAGTGAATGTGGGGAAGGAAATATTGCTGTGGTCATTTTTGGGAAACACACTGCTACAGCATCACCTGGGAAGTTGGTGGATATGTTGATTCTCAGGCCCCACCTCAGACCCATTGAATAGAAATATGCATTTAATAACATTCCTTTTTAAAAGATATATATCTATATCTATATATCTATATCTATATCTATATCTATCTATCTATCTATCTATCTATATATATATAATTGATTTCAGAGAAGAATGGAGAAGGAGAGAATGATAGAAACATCAATGATGAGAGAGAATCATCGTTCAGCTACCTCCTGCATGCCCCATACTGGGGATCAAGCATACAACCTGGGCATGTGCAATGACAGAATCAACACATGACCTCCTGGTTCATAGGTCAATGTTCAACTACTGAGCCACACCGGCCAGGCAATACGAATCTTCTTTGTTGTTATTATTAATCTTCACCAGAGGATATTTTTCTTCATGAATTTCCAGAGAGCATGAAAGGGAGGGGGAGAGGCAGAGAGAGAGAAACATCAATGTGAGCGCGACACATCAGATTGGTTGCCTCCGATGGGTACCGGGGATTGATCCGGCAACAGAGATACATGCCCTTGACTGGGAATCAAACCCTCAACACTTCAGTCCGAGGGCCAATGTTCTATCCACTGAGCCAAACTGGCCAGGGTGCATTTAATAAGATTCTAAGGTGCTTCTTTTGCATATTTGCAAAATATGCAAAAGAAGCACTGTTTTAAGTCACAAATATGGCACTGTTTTGGGCAGGAGGGGACATGAGTGAGGTTGAGAAAGCCCCATCTGGCTGCGTTGTGCAGCCAGCCTGTCCTGGTAGTTTGAAAATATTTTCAGGTGGTAATGATGTAAAGCAGTGGTCGCCAACTTTTCGGACCTCAGGGACCACCAGTCATCCGCAGACCACCGGTTGGTGGCTGCTGATGTAAAGCATTGATAAAATTTATTTTTTCAATCAGGTCAATGCCAGAGAGAGAGCCCTTAGTGCCACATAGGGTCAATGGAACAAAACCAAATTTCCAAAGGCAAATATTGAGTCTTCAGTTCAATAGCCTTTCATGTCCCATTTTTCTTCATCTTCCATCGTGATTTCTTAATCCTCAGGAGTCATGGCCACCTTTCACTACCTCTTTTTGTTCCCCTTTCATAATTGAGATTTTATTGTTTTGAGGATCTGTACACAGGCATTGCAATTTGTACACAATTCTTAACATTCGTACCAAAATGTAAAGTCATGTAGTTGTGATTCTTTTCTAAACAGTTATTCCAGGGAATTTCCAGCTTAACGTTTAGAGGCTAACTTTCCTTAATAGAGTATCAAGTACCAATATCTTCAAATGTTGATGCGCTGTTACATCAAAATCCCACTAATTCACGAATATCATATATACCACATAATCAAATTTCCAATCTTTCACAGCACATTGACAAAGTTACTAGGAAAACGGGACTA